ACGTAACGCATCAAAACGAGAATTTTGTATATCCCTCAATTTTCCCCTTAAAACCTCAATTTCCTCATATCTAGCCTCCCTGCCCCCTTCATAAAAATCATTGAGCTGCCCCTCAAAATATTTTTGTAAACCAAACCTCCACCGCGCCTCATCCCGTCCTCTATGCTGATAATACTCCTTAATTTGCAATTCAGCATACTTCTCCCACCATTCCAATACATCCTCCTCTCTGTTGCGCGCCTCCCAGAGGTGCCACCACCATTCTCTAAAAACCAACCTCTCCCCCTCCCCCTCCCCCTGAAGTAACTTCACATTCAGTTTCCAATAACCCACATACCTACGAACCATCCCGTCCCATGCCACCTCTGCCAAAACGGCTCGATGGTCCGAAAAACCTAAATCTATCGTTGTTACACTGTCCACTGTAATCTCTCGAGTTATATATATACGGTCCAACCTAGCTGCATAACCCCTCGTCATAAACGTGTGCTCCACTCTCCACCCATCTCCCCTGACTATGTCAAAAACTCCTGCATCCCTCAACGAATCCCTCAACACCCCAGGCACACACCCTGCACCTCTTGGCTCCACAGACCGGGCCGCGGGGGCGTTGACCCCCGGAACTCTCTCCAGGTAAACTCCAGGTAAACATCCTTATTACTGATTACACAGTTCCAATCCCCTCCTACTATAGAAACCATGGGTAAACCCCACAAGTAGAAAAGCAAAACCTCCCTTACAAAAGTCACCTTTACCTTTATATTGCTATCAGCCGGCATATATATCCCTAGAAAACACACTCTAATCTCCCCCCATAGCCCCTCCACCCTCGCCACCCTCCCCTCCCCCCTCTTCCCACACGAGCACTTGGAATGGGCTGGATTCCCTCACTGCCACTGCTACCCGACCCTTTAATTTCCCTGAGCTGCCTGCATACATCCTTAAACCTTTCAGCCTCAAATCTCTACCACACTTAAAATTGTGTTCTTGAATAAAACACACATCAATATTAAAACGCCTCAAAACATCCTCCAACCATACACGTTTTACATGAGCACTAAGGCCATTCACATTTATCGTTAGACACTTAAAGATTCAGAAAGGGGGGGCTTTCCTTTATGTTTCTGTGGCCTGTCCATTACACTTTTTGCTGTGCCTGTTTTTTCCCGTGCACTCTTGCCCGCCTGGACCCCCTCCCCCCCTTGTGCACTACCCTGCCCCTTCTTAGTCACTCCCGCCCAACTCTTCTTACCAGTACGCTGAGCTGGAGTAATACACTCCTCATCCGACGATCCTCCAGCTCTTTTTTTAGATGTACTCTCAACCTCCATATCAGTACGGTCACTCCTCCTGTGCACCTCAGCCTCCACTTGCTGCACCTGCAACATGTCAGACTCTGACTCCTGAGGCCCCGGGACCCGTTCACTCAGGTCTTCCTCAACCATCAGAATTCTCCCGTCTACAGGAGGGATCTCCTCCGCTGGCTCGTCCAGAAAAGACTTATCTCCTGCAGGGGTTCAGGTAAAACCTGTAGGTCACTGGCCTCCCCCACCCCTACAGGCTGCTGTTCACCACAAGGGTCTGCCTGTGTGGGAACGTCCGAAGCCACTGGTAACGTCACACAAATTTCTCCCGCTTCCTTCACTTCGTCCGCCCAATTACCTTTGCCTACTACACTCACAACTTCAGGCAAAGATGCCACCTGAGACTCTGTGAAAACTGGCAGGTCCAAAGACCTCGGCGCTGCTGCCCTACCACACCCGGCCGCCATGTGGTCATAAGCGCCACACAGGCGACACATCTTGAGTTGTCCCGTGCAGGTCACAAACACCTGTGTCCTGAAATCCTCCAGGACAACATACGATGGAATAGGTCGTCTCAAAGTCATCTTAATGGTGTAGGATCCTCCAGGCAGAGCTGCATAGATTCCATCCGTCCATCGACCCAGAGTCGTAGCATGCACTTCATCATATCATTGAAAAGCCTCTCTAATATCCACTTCATCCACTTCAAAAGGGACATTTCGAATCCTCACCCAGGTGTAATATTTTGAGGCATCCTTCAGGCATACCTCCAGTCCAGATGAAACGAAGATGGACTTCTCCTGGTATCTTGTCACCGTCCTTTCATAAGCCTCTACATTGCAGAACTTATGAAGATTCGTGAAGAGCCATTAAGCGCTATTCCATGTAGTTCATCGTTGTCAATGTTAAACGTGTCCCGTATGATCGTTGGCAATAAGACAGAGGCGTTCGTCGGATAAATTATTCCTTTAACTAGGTCAACACACACAGTGTTGCTCCTCCTGCAGTAACTGGTCGCTGTCTTGGTGAAAACAGGAAGTTGCGCAAACAGAGAAAGCAGGAGCTTTTGCGCAGCACGTCCACACGGCCCGAGAGTGATGAGGACAATGACTCGTACCTTTACTTCCTTTCCTGATGGCAAAGATATGATGGTTTAGTGACAGATTACCAAACTACAACCTCCCCCTCCCCTCAGCTTCAAAACAAGCATTGTCCTTCCCGCACTCAAAACCTGCACACGAAAATCACTCCCTATGAAAGCAAAAGACTCGGCAGGAGATGCAATATTCCCCCGATGAAAAGCAGGGGCGCCACGAGTACATTGAGAGACAACACAGTAAGTGTCCGGGGCCCAAGACTGTTCAAGTGCCTCCCGACATACATAAGGGGGATTACCAATAGACCCCTGGCTGTCTTCAAGAAGGCACTGGACAAGCACCTAAAGTCAGTACCTGACCAACCAGGCTGTGGTTCGTACGTTAGCTTGCGTGCGGTTAGCAGTAACAGCCTGGTTAATCAGACCCTGATCCACCATGAGGCCTGGTCTCAGACCGGGCCGCGGGGGCGTTGACCCCCGAAACCCTCTCCAGGTAAACTCCAGGTAATATGCCCACTTCCCAGGAAACCACTTGCTACCTTGTGTCGTTCAAGCAATACCGGCTACTGAAACAAAAGTCAGGAATCGTTCGCCTTCAGGAAAAGTCGGTCGATGGATCTATAATTTCCTCACTAACAGAACACAAAGAGTAGTAGTCAACAGAGTCAAGTCCGAGGCAGCTACGGTGAAAAGCTCTGTTCCACAAGGCACAGTACTCGCTCCCATCTTGTTCCTCATCCTCATATCTGACATAGACAAGGATGTCAGCCACAGCACCGTGTCTTCCTTTGCAGATGACACCCGAATCTGCATGACAGTGTCTTCCATTGCAGACACTGCAAGGCTCCAGGCGGACATCAGCCAAATCTTTCAGTGGGCTGCAGAAAACAATATGAAGTTCAACGATGAGAAATTTCAATTACTCAGATATGGTAAACACGAGGAAATTAAATCTTCATCAGAGTACAAAACAAATTCTGGCCACAAAATAGAGCGTAACACCAACGTCAAAGACCTGGGAGTGATCATGTCGGAGGATCTCACCTTCAAGGACCATAACATTGTATCAATCGCATCTGCTAGAAAAATGACAGGATAGATAATGAGAACCTTCAAAACTAGGGATGCCAAGGCCATGATGACACTCTTCAGGTCACTTGTTCTATCTAGGCTGGAATATTGCTGCACACTAACAGCACCTTTTAAGGCAGGTGAACTTGCCGACCTAGAAAATGTACAGAGAACCTTCACGGCCCGCATAACGGAGATAAAACACCTCAATTACTGGGAGCGCTTGAGGTTCCTGAACCTGTATTCCCTGGAACGCAGGCGGGAGAGAGACATGATTATATACACCTGGAAAATTCTAGAGGGACTAGTACCGAACTTGCACACGAAAATCACTCACTACGAAAGCAAAAGACTTGGCAGACGATGCACCATCCCCCCAATGAAAAGCAGGGGTGTCACTAGCACGTTAAGAGACCATACAATAAGTGTCAGGGGCCCGAGACTGTTCAACTGCCTCCCAGCATACATAAGGGGGATTACCAACAGACCCCTGACAGTCTTCAAGCTGGCACTGGACAAGCACCTAAAGTCGGTTCCTGATCAGCCGGGCTTTGGCTCGTACGTTGGTTTGCGTGCAGCCAGCAGTAACAGCCTGGTTGATCAGGCTCTGATCCACCAGGAGGCCTGGTCACAGACCGGGCCGCGGGGGCGTTGACCCCCGGAACTCTCTCCAGGTAAACTCCAGGTAAAACTCCAGGTTTAGCAGGCAACTTCCAGCAGTATTTCCATCCTCAGACGGCTCAGCCAGTGGATATACACACAATGCCTTACCAGTGAGCCTCTTAAAACAACATAATATGGAACATTTTCCTTCTGCAGTGAGTCTGTCATAAGATGACCCGTTCAGTAGTGCCAGCTCTATGAATTAAGTGTGGAAAAATGATTGGTTACACTACAACGACTTCTAACTTACCAGTGCTGAACTTAGTGGTCTAAGTTTGCCAGGCATTGTTGGTAACACACTGTTTAAGTTGGAGGACATCTTCACCGATCTAATTTTCTCACACTTTTATCAACCATGACTTGCTTTATGAATTTTAAATCTCCAGAGCCAGTTCAGATCTACACTTGAAACAGTGTATACTGTTTGCCTCCATCATCTCTGCATCTAGTTCTCTTTATTACTATGAGATTGAACGACCTATGTCCAAACGTCTCTTTAGCTGTCTTTTCCATGTAGCACAAATGCCGAGTGTATAAGACACTCAGACAATGATTGTGATATATTGAAACTATCCATTATCTTGTTTTTAGAGAAATGGGAGATACTACAGTCACAGATAGAAAAGAGAGACCCAGTCTCAAGATCTCACTTCTGCTCTCCCATTTCATATAGACAAGATATTGGAGAGAGATAGTCTCAATATATTACAATTGCATCTCTGCCATAATAGTTGTCTCTTCGGATGCCTAGATACAGACTGGTTAACTAGGCTTAATCACTATCTTAGAAACCTTATAATCTCGTACACTATAGCAGAAAAAATCCTTTGCTTTCAACCATGAAAAAAAAAACAATGTTTTTACAGTTGGTGGAAGAGCTAGAGAATGTGGAGTTGGCTTACCTGGATCTGGACCAGGTCTTCAGTGAAACTCCACTCAAGTCATGGCATGATCAACGTTTCTGGCTCTACAATGAAGGTAAAAGCTTGCCTGCCTTTGCCTTTCCATGGCCTCCCCCCTCCCTACATCCTTCCCTCCCCCTTCCTTACATCCTTCTCTCCCCCCCTCTCATTGTACTTACCTAGATCTGCTTTTTAGTATTAGAGTTCCAGCTCCTAACGCCCGTATTACCCATGGGTCCGCTGGTACAGTGGGTACCTAACCCCACATTTACCTTATCATACTTACTTTTGTATTCTTGTTTAAAGTTTTGCCTCCACCATCTTTTTTGCTTAGTTGTTTCACTGACTCCTTATTCTTAAACCGAACAAGACGTTTCTACTGCCTCTTTAGCTTATATGGGCGTTCAGTTATATCACTCCATCACACTGGCCTGCCATGAGTTCGATCCATACTCGTTCTGTGATTTCCCTCACATGGTTCTCGTTTATTCTGCCCAGTCACCTTCCATAGCCTTTGTTTCACATATCGAGGTTGGAATAGTAATATTGTTGCTAGAATTACCGACAATATGTTAGGCAAAAGGATACAAGTGCAATTAACGCGACATTTTATTGTGGCAACTTTTCGCTCTCCAGGAGCTTTGCCAAGCAGTTACCTTTTGCCTAACAACCTCGTTGTTGGGTAAAAGTGGGCACCCTAATCCCAGGCTGGGGGTTGAGGTCATCGTATACAGCCATACTGACCATACTCCCACAGGCTGATGGAAAGAAAAAGGGGGGGAAACTAGAGAGAGAAATGGAGTAATTACCTCACTAACATAAGCTGCCACCACCTGCTGGAGTAATTACCTCACTAACATAAGCTGCCACCACCTGCTCTTATTAGTAGTAGAAGATTCAAAAGAAAATAAAGGTCTAGTAAAAGGAAGACACGAATATGGGCTAGAGGAAAGCCCAGTCGGATTCATATAGGACATTTAGGATAGACTTAATATTTTGATTTATGGTAGGATCTGGTGTGAATGAGCTGTAGACCTTCTACCAGCGCTTGACTCTCTAGTAAACTAACTTAAATATAATACAATAGTATATGCAATTCCATGGGCCTCATATACCTACTCAAAAAAGGAAAAAGCATGAGCAAATAGGCCTCCTGCAGTACCTCATTACTTATGTTCTTAAGCATGTATATTTATGTCCAGAAAAAGAGCATTGTAGCATGCCTCCTGGAACATTATTAATGTTCAGATGTTAGCCTGTTATAGTTAAATTTACACACTGTTCTGATAGCTAAATATTTTTCATCAAGATTTACTCTACATATACTTCAACACTTTTCATGTTTATGAAGAATTCTAAACACCTTTATTATGCCAAGTGACTCCAAGATATTGAAGACCATATCAAGAGAACCTGCAAGACACACTCTCAAATACCCGGCTTCCAAATTTGCTAAGATCAAAGAAATTGTACTGACCAGCTGCACATAAATTGATTCACATTCAAAATAATCGTCGTTCATAAAAATCTAAATTTACTAGTTTAACAAATAATGTTATAAAATATATTGGTAATGTTTAATTAACTTTGTGTAAGCAACAGCCTCTTCTACAATACAATCTATTTGTTCCTTTAGATATTCAAGAACTAAATGATTCACATTAATGGTCATTCGCCTCACGATTATAAAAAAGAAGTTACAAGTTAATAGTTGTATCTTCCATTGGTCAGCAACTCCCAGCCTCGGAACAGACACAAGCAAGGCTGACCTCTGAACATATGCTAACAACCCAAAAGAGGTTCTTATTTAGACACAACATGAAGGCTGCGTGAAGCCAGACGAAATTTTGTAGCTGATTAATTTAGCGAAATTATCACTTAACTTCCTATTTTAAACCTAGCCTCTTACCTAATAACCTGGAGCAGTGGTCCATCACTGAACCGCAGCTCCATGACATCCAATCCGTCCTCTATGGTATGCACACTACACACTCTAGCTGATGTGACTCAAGACAATGCCAGAGCTGGTAGTCCCTCACCACATAAAGGTGCTTCTCCTTCTAAAATGCATTTCGAAAGACTTCTGATTTCCGTTTGACTGTCACACACTTGTATTAATTTAGTGAAGCTGACTTTGACATACTTAAACCTGCACTAATGCTTCCGTATAAAACCTCTGCTCTCAAGACTCTGTCTAATCTCTAGATTTATAACTTCATTTTAAGTTGTTTTTTCCGGTAATGTATTACAGTGGTATTTTTGTAGCAGATAATCTCAGTATAAATAAAAACATGCCCATATTATCTATTCTTCCCATGTCTACAGTTTTTTTTTTTTTTTTTAATTTTCTTAACTATCTTCCAGGACGAGTAGCCAACTTCCTCAGTGACGCAGCGCGTGCAGAGCTGTTGCGACGCTATGGAGGGACCTACCTTGACCTGGACGCCTTGACCTTGTGACCTCTCCCTCACCTTCATACCTACGTAGGTAGGATGGATACCGAAGGGATAAACTGCGGCATCTTGAGCTTCCCACCACGACACCCCTTAATCCAGGTGTGATTATGACGGGATCACAGATTCATGTTGGCTCCTGAGTTATGCTGAATATACTCTATTGTTAAGCTAGAAACCATGTTAGATCAGCGATCAAAGATCAGCTTTCAACGTAGATCATTTTTGAAGATAGAGATTATAAGCTGAATCTTTGTGTCTTGTCCAGGAATATATCCTAAAATGGAAGTCATACCAGATAAGGTATGCTAAAAATAATTCTTGGTCAGAGGCCATTTTAAAATCAGATCATGCTGGTTCAGGATCCATGTTGAAGTTAGAAGTCATGATTAGTCAGCTATTAAGGTCATTCAGGTTCTATAGTGTCATAGATTAACTTTATATCTACATAAGCATTAACCTTCTGTTTCCTAACTTTTTTTTATTAGATTAGTCAGTACATTCATATTTACTAGTCGAAGTAGGTCTTCGTCCAAAGGTTGGACAAGTTTTGAAGAATTCTTCGTATCAAGATCCCATGATGATGCAGTGTCTGACAATTTTGAATGGTTTTGAAAACTGACCAGTTGAAGATTGAGACACTTATGCAACATATGGGAACCTTTACTGAGGAAACGTTTCGCCACACAATGGCTTCATCAGTCCAATACAAAGCAGAAAGATGTAGGGAGAGGAGGAGTTTGAGGTAATCAGTCCCTCAGCCTGGAGTCGATGTGTTCAGTCCATCAATCTTGTAGAATGTACAGCATAGGGCCGTAGACGTGGCTTATATACTGTAGTGAGGTGAGGTGAAGCAGGAGGAGGCGAGTAGTGGATGGTACCATTATGACCCCGCCTCCTCCCACACTTGTATTTACCCTTAATCTATTCGTCCTACTGAAACAAAATCTTGGCCTGAATTTGAGGTTCTTTTAATTCCCAGGGAGTTGTCGATGACATACCACGAGTGTTCGATCCCAACAATTACAACAGTATCGGTCCTGCTCTCATCACTACCCACCTGCATCAACTGTGTCCTGAGAACTTCGCTACTCCCAGGAACATCAACAGTACAGTAATAGACACTTGCCACGGCATCACCATCTACCCGAGCAGTGCCTTCACTCCTGTTCTCGCGATACCTCCCTTCACTGAGTTACATAAAGTCTTCTTAAATGGCGAGGGACTTGGAGTCAAGTTCGTGGAGTCAACAGATTCCTACTCACTCCATCTTTTCAGCTCTTTTACAGAACTGGAGGCGATGATTCTTGGAGGAGATTCCATCCTGGAGGAAGTGGCCAAGAAGAATTGCCCAAGGGTGTATCACTTTCTTTTTACCCATAACATGAAGCTCTGAATGATGATTGGCTTTCCTGCAAAGTAATGAGTGATATTTTCGTGCTAGTAATACGTAAATTAGGTTAAATTAGTTCTCCCTCTTCTTTAATCAAAGTGGCTACTTTCCTATTTATGTTGAAAATGTATAATATACCGACAAGTTAATGAGTAAGACACATGTGCAACAGTTGAGTATTTTTATTGTTGAAACGTTTCGTCTACACAGTAGGCGTCTTAAGTCAACTACAGAGGCAGCAAGTGTAGCAGTGAAACGATGATGATGTAATCAGTCTATCAACTAAAGTTGATAGACTGATGTAACTTTCCTATTTAATTTTTGATGTTACATTTTGTCGAATAGTTAAGAACAACAAATAGTTAATTTAATTAAGGTTTTAGTTTGGTATGCATATAAATAATGAAAGAAATCGATATAAAGAATGCAATTAACTTTATATTGATTTTTTCAATATTTTGTGATTAACTGCCATATTATTGAGGAATAAAGCTATGTAATATATAAAAGTATCTTATTAATACAAATAAGACACCAGGACTTCTGATGAATTATTCTAACATACTTGTAACAAATAAACCAGTTGTACACAAATATGAATATACTGGAGGTCGCCAATTTTCTTTTCCACCATCTAAAGCCTAGTTTCAGCCACAGTCTGGATATACACCAGGCTGCAGTTATTATTATAATCAAAAAGAAGCACCAAACCTACAAGGGTCATATAGCGCCGCAGGGATGGGTGTAGGGATTTTGGGTAGCAAGAGGGAGAGGGATTATTATTAGGTCATTGAGAGCAGCGGGGCAGTGGATAGTGCAGGGGTAGAGGATAGCATGAGGTTCAGGTAGAAAGGGCTGTGAGGAGTGCTAGAGGCATTATCATCAGAGTTTGTGCAGTAAATCAGTTGCTGTCAAAGTCAACGAGAGTGTCTGGGTCATAGGAGGGTCCATCAGCAAGAAGGGAAGGTAAAGTAAGGGCAGTAGAGCGGTGACGACGTTGGAGGTAAATTCTGCGTGCTCACTGATAGACCGGACAGTCCAATAGAATATGGCTAACAGAAACTAGAACCTGACAATTCACACAGAGGGGGACAGGGTGTGTGTTTGTGTGTGTGTGTGTGTCATGTACTGGTGACAGCGCGCAGCAGTGTCTACCTGTTCATTGTCCTGTACGTCAACATCCAGGCTGCAGTTACTTTGCCTAAAATATTCAAGTTATTTCTTAACTGTGGTGGCCTGGTGGTTAACGCTCTCGCTTCACACGGTGAGGGCCTGGGTTCGATTCCCAGCCAGAGTAGAAACATTGGACGTGTTTCTTTCCACCTGTTGTCTATGTTCCCCATCAGTAAAATGGGTACCTGGGTGTTAGTCGACTGGTGTGGGTCGCATCCTGGGACACTGACCTAAGGAGGCCTGGTCACAGACCGGGCCGCGGGGGCGTTGACCCCCGGAACTCTCTCCAGATAAACTCCAGATATCAAATACAACTATTAACAAAAGTGTGAGAAGATAATGGAATGGTTATCGTTTTTATTATTATTATCAGGAAGTATTAAACGAGCAGGGGTCATACAGATCATGGAGAATGGAAGTAATCAGTGCCTGCAGAGCCACGGAAGGAGAGGATATTATAATTATTATAATCATGGGGGAGCGCTAAACCCATAGGATTGTACAACGCATGTGGGGGGGAGGTGGAAGGTATTCAGGCTCAATTCAGGGAACTGGAGCACAGATGCAATTCCCTAGATCAAGAGCCCCTCACCAGCATCAAGGAACCTCCCTTGAGGGGAAGGAGAGAATTGATAAGCTTTTTAGGACCAACAGCCCCTCACTGGCTCCAAAGTGTCTTACTGCACGAGTTAACAAATCTCGAATGTATGAAATAGCGCGGACCTGTCAATAGAGATGTTCACAGAATGGTCAGTTTCTCAGAGAGAAATTGTCATTATATATCACTACAACCAGCTTTCAAATATGTATTTAAGATGGGAGTACCATGTGAGGTTCATATGTTTTAATAATATAAAGAGCGACCTGGTGTGTTTTATTTTTAAGAAGAGAAGACTAATGTTGTCTTACACCTAGAGGGCAGGTCACCTTCAGACTAAATATGTTTGAAAACTATAAAAAAAATGAAGATCATCACTCCTGGCTCTCAACACTGATTTTTGAACAACAAAGATCCTACTTCATAAGAGCACATGTATAGGATTCCCTCAGCGGCTTGTAACCGAAAACATCTGGAGGTGCAGACACTAAAGAACTGGCGCGAATAGCAATATAGTTCATCAGCAACTTGCAACTAGTCAGCTAATTTTGCGCCAGCAACACGAAGAACAGTTGATCCAGCGAGTACCTGCCTGCTAGCCTTCGTTCTCTTTTTCGCCTCGCTCTTATAAAAAACTAAAGTGCACAGATATTCACAATGTAACAAGTGGGTCATAGCTCAGTGGAAAGGCCTCTATCTCACAATCGAAAGACCCGCGTTTAATCATGCTGCAGGTGGAGACGTGAGCATGTTTCCTTACATCTCGTTACATTTGTTCACCTAGCACCCTCAAGGAGGGGCCTTGATGTCATTGAGATCCAAGAACACTCTTGGATCTATTTTAGACACTTACAGATGTTAGGCCTCAAGATCTCTCCATGCTGTGCCACGAGGAGATCCATCTGATGGTCCAATCCCCAGAAGATTCACCTGATAATCCAATCCCCAGGAGATTCACCTGATAATACAATCCCCAGAAGATTCACCTGATGGTCCAATCCCCAGGAAATCCATCTGATGGTCCAATCCCCAGGAGATTCACCTGACGGCCCAATCCCCAGGAGATTCACCTGATGGTACAATCCTCAGGAGATCCACCTGATGGTACAATCCCCAGGAGATCCACCTGTTGGTACAGTCCCCAGGAGATCCACAAGATGGCAAAATCACCTTCAGATGTAGCGGACCATCCCAGCACTGCAGCTGGAGGGAAAACAGTGTAACAGACATTGACTGTTTCCATGATCCCCCGGAACAGAATTTACAGAATGTAAAGAAATCCCTGTTGTACACGTATGTAAGGTAGAGGAGGAGAGGCGAGGAAGTGCTGGGTTTTTAGTCAGGCAAAGGTCACTTAAATCTCACCACCACGTCAAGGTCACCCAGCTTTGGGGAGTGGGAGAGAAAGAGAGATAGATAGAGAGAGAGAGAGAGAGAGAGAAGAGGGGTAGAATTATTACTTTTAGGAGAAAGCGCTAAAACTAGAGAGTTACTCATCGCCTTGGGAATGGGAGGCAATCAGGTTCAGTCCAAGGAAGGAGAGGACAAATCTAACTCCTTGAATCAAGAGCCCCTCACCAGCATAAAGATATCTTCGCTGAGAGAGGAAGGGAAACTGGGAGGGAGAAGAGTGAAAATGAGGAAGGAAACATATATTTTAACATTATTATTATTCTAATCAAGGGAGAGAGCTAAACCCGTAGGATTGTGCAGCGCCTGTGGGGGGGGGGGATGTGGAAAGAATTCAGGCTTAATTCAGGGAACTGGAGCACAGATCCAATTCCCTAGATCAAGAGCCCTTCACCAACGTCAAGGAACCTTCCTTGAGGGGAGATATATATCTATTAAAAGACACAAACACAGAAGGCAAGATCTTAGGCTTTGTTTTCCTTATATGTAGTGCAACATTTCCGTCACTTACTATAAAACTATCACTGACGTTAATTCAGAAGCATCACAGAGGCTCAGAACGAGTACATGTATCTCTCACACTTCTTAAGTTAAAACTTATGTAGAGTTGGTGAGAACTGATTAATTTCCTACCAGGTAAACTGTTTTATACAGAGAGCAGAAAAAAGTAATGATTGAGGCTGAGTGACGTGGAAGGTGTTTATATAAACCTGTCTCAGGTGTTCTGGGCTGAGTGACGTGGAAGGTGTTTATATAAACCTGTCTCAGGTGTTCTGGGCTGAGTGACGTGGAAGGTGTTTATATAAACCTGTCTCAGGTGTTCTGGGGCAACAGTAGATGTTAATGCGAGTTATTCTAAACTGTGCTTACATGCGTTTCTTTATTATATTTTTACTATATGTTTATTCTTGCTGGTTTTAGAAGTGGTTTACCATAAGTTTCAAGCCTGCCAGTTCGTATTATTTCATATCTAAACACGGGTGACAAACTGGCAGGCTTGAAACTCATGGTAAGCCACTTCTAAAACCAGCCAGTGCTAGCCATGGCTTCATGCTATTACCATTTGCGCAGAACAGTTTAAAAATTTTAAGTAATAATGGTGACCTAGAGGTTGTATGGGGTAGTGTGAGGCGACTGTCTGATGGTGTGGGAAAAGTGGTGTAGGTAGTGTAGGTATAGGTGGATTAAGGTAATCGTGAATGGTTTTCCTGCTAGTATAAAAGGCTGTGTGAAAAAAATTGCCAACTGTCTTATGGCTGGTGATGGAGTTTCTAGTTTCTTCTTTCTCTACGTAAGCGATCATTCACAGGCGTGTGTCGTAGAGAGCTCCGCCCATCACCATCCACACCGACCTGTCCTGCTGTTGGTGACTGCCTCTGCCATACTTCACCTACACCGACTCCTTCAGGTAAGCACTATCTCTGCCTCCTTCACCTACTGCTTTCATTTTTATTTTATGTGTAGTTTGTTTCTTCAACGGAGGATGACCTGAAGAAAATGCAGTCGTTATCACTCACATCCGAGCTTCCTTCCTTACTGTAATGGTACACATATTAGGATCCGGTGATGGATTACCAAAGCACAATATCCATTCCTAACTTTCAAACTACAGGCATTGCTTTTCCCACATTTTAAACACAATTTTAGTTACCCAGTTTCTCAAAATAGCTTATAACCTTCCAACCCCTCCTTCTACCCCAGATTTTAGAAACCTTATTAAAAACCATGTCCCTTTAATTAAGGGTGCTATATTATAAAGTACTAAATTTGTATGAGTCATACAGCAGGAAATGGCAAGCTAAAAGAGACTGAAGGTCAGATGTATGTACTAATGTAGAATTTCAAGTCGGTGTAATAAGTTTTTGTTTAATTCATGCTAAGTGCTAAACTCATGTGGGGTCATTCAGCTCAAGACGTGGTAGAGGCTTGATGCTCCGTCTGCTGAGTGCAACAGGATCTGATATCCGGGTAGGAAGATTCCGTCTGTTATTGTACCAGTGAGTTTTGTTTCTGTGACTGCTATGATGTCTGGGGGCATCTCCTTGATTCTTTCATGCCACTCCTCACATTTATTCGTTATTCCTTCCGCATTCGTGTACCAAACCTTCAACTTCTTTTCTATAACTGTGGTTTGGGGAGAATGGTGGGATAGGGGGGAGCAGGTTCCCTTGTGGGGGCCTATGGGGGGTTGCTGTGAGGGTGGGGTCTGTGGGTGTGGGGTAGGGGCAGAGAGCCTATGAGGGGTTTCAGTGGGGATGTGGGTGTTTTTGAGGGGGGCTGGGGAGAGGGACTATGGAGGGATACAGTGGGGTGGGGGTTGTGGTGAAGGGATGGGGAAGAGGGTACAGTGTGTGAGTTGCTGTAGGTTACTGTGGGGGTGGGGTTTGTGCTGAGGGGGATGAGGGCAGAGGGTACAGTGAGTGGGATTTGGGTTAGGTTGTTTGATTGCTTTGGGATTGCCATGGTTGGGTTCCTTCTGTGGGTGGTACT